ATTTACGTGATGATTGAACATATCCTTACGTGAATTTATAAAACAGACGGATTTATATACCTTGACAGAGGATGCAACAATATAACTATTTTTGATGATTCAAAACTTCTGATAAAAATACCGTATATCAGAATTTAGATTCCAAATGTTGTGTACTTGCATGTGTTAAAGAACAAAAACTAAAATTAAACCTTGTGAAAATGACCTTAACTCAAAGGTTATTTATCTGATAAAGATATTTTCACGCGTAAGAAAATTTATATATGCAAACAAACATATCGTTTTCACTAGATATTTCCTTGAAAACGAATTAGATTCTTCAAAATATATAAGATCTAGCGATAGTACACAACAACCCTCAATTATTAAGATCTTTTACAAACAAACAATTATACTCCGAAAAAAATTATCATATCATAGTTACAGATTTTTACCACAAAAAATTATCATAGTTTATCATGATAAACTACTACTTATAGAAAGTTAGAATATAAATATAAAAAATCTGTGAAAAGAAACTATAAAAAAGTAGGTAAATCCGAAGTTTAGGTCAAAAAGTTATTTTAAAAACCGAAGTTTCAAAAAGGTGCACAAATCCCATGGATAAATAATTCAGTTTACACTTTTTCTCCCGTTTGTTTCGTTGAGATTTATGAAACCCATGCGAAAAATAACGTAGAAACCTATAAAAGTCATATACGAAAATATATACGAAGAACAGAGGATTGACGTTAGAACATGGTATTGTACACAACGGCAACTTTCTATTTTAAAATTTTTAGTTTCACAAAAATTTATATGAGAGTATAGTTTAATTTATGTTTTAAATCCCGCTTTACCAATTTTTAAAAGTTATGCTTTCGTAAAATATAGGAAATTCGATTTTTTTTCAAAAGAAAATTAAAACAATAAAATTTCATCAAAATTTTGAACCTTGTTTCCTTCCTCCAACTCATATAAACTTCTTAAGATTAATTCAATTGTTCTCAATATTGTCTTTATAAATTTCACTTTAAAGTTTTATAACTTTTACGTCATTTATATAGTTGTACAAAAACTTTATACTTTTAGATATTTATTTGACTTCTAAAGAATAAGGTTAATGAGATAACAAAACTAAACCTTCAGCTAAAAATTAACCAAAAATTCTTGTAAAAAAAAAAAAAATTAACCAAAAAATCTAGGAGTTTAGATCCTATCTTTTGGACGTAGACCTCTCTATACTACACAGTACAAATACAAAACTTGTTTCGTTCGTGCAAATCCGATGGCATTACTGTAATAACAAGAGAAGAAAAAGGGTTAGACGAAGACAATATAGGCCCCACTTGATGACGTCATCAGTAGCGCATAAAGGAAAAAATGGAGAAATGAACACACGTTGCTCATTTCTCATCTCATTTTTTTTCGTCAACATATTTACGATGACAACTAAATATTAGCGGTCTAAAAGCGGGGATGAATCACATTTTTGTAATATCTAATCCCTCCGTTTCAAAATATAAATTGTTTTGACTAAAAATACGAATATTAAAAAACTAATTTTCTTTTAAAAAATAGCATCTTATATATATAATAAAAATAATTTTAACCAATGAAAAAAAAGATTGCAAGATAATATTGGTCAAACAATAGTCAATAAAATTAAAAAAATACATAAGATTATCAAAACAATTTATATTTTGAAACATAAAAAAATCTCTAAAACAACGTATATTTTGAAACGGATGAAATATTTACTATATGTCAAAAAAGAATAATTTAAAAAAGGAAAATCTAATGTGACCAACAAAAAAAAACAAAAAAGGAAAATATAAATTTCAAAATGATAATAATTTTAATCATATCTATTGTATACAACGTAGCATTGTCGAATTAAATAGTGCAATAATATGCTTATACTGTATTTGGTTTTGTAAATATGGTAATTGATAGAATTTAAATAAATACTAAATTTTCATTTTTTCAACTATTTTTTTATAACCAGAAAATCTTGAGCTGATTTGACATCACAGTAAATGATTTAAGCTTTTGTGTCTTTCATCCCAAAAATAATTCTTCATGAATTAGATCAAAACCAAACTTTTGTTTTTTTTTATTGCGGATATATGTGAATTTAATCTCATTTCCAAAAAAAGAAATTGAATCATGAATTTGTTATTTTCTCTTTAGAAATCAAAAGCACAATCTCTTTTTGGTTTATGATGCAATTTTGAAAGATTGTTTATTTTTCCTTTTATTGTCTTCTCTTGTGACTTGTGAAGTTGATAATTTATAAAATTGAGAATGCAGGTAAATCACTTTTTGTTTGTCTCGTTCGATTTTAATACTCGTTCTGTTTGTTTATATATATAAAGTTAGTACTCGTAGGGTTTGTTATATCATTGTCAGCATGTTTGACTTTATCATTTGCTCTGATTGACATTATCACGTGCATTGGACCGTCTCTCATTTGCCAGGTATTAATTAGATCGTCGTATATATTCTCATTGTCTCCCTTATCGTTGCCATCATCTTACAAAAACAACCAATTGTTAAGGTATCGAATAGCGATACTAGATTATATAGTACTAGGCGATGCAAAACAATTAGATTAGAACAGTTCTAACACACACATATATATAGCTACTACGGAACAAATGTTCGTATTTAAACTTTGTGTGTTTAATACCCATGCGTAGAGAAAAATAACAACCACCTACTTTTCAATATATAAACGTAAATGTTGTAGACTTTTTAAGCTTAATTTTATCTACATCATGTTTTATTATTCAAAAGATAGTTTTGTTTGATACGAAACAAAATTATCATTGAGTAAAATGAGAAGAATAGATATATTAAAAGTAATGTGGAGATCCGTATATACGTAAAAGAAAGTTGGTTGGTAAGAAAACAAGTCAAATTAAATAATTATAGATGGTCATGGCATGGACATTCGCGTTTTGGCCTTAGCGTGTGAAGCAACTACGGCTTGTAAAAAATCAGAACAGGACAATGAAAAAATGTTGTTATTACGAAAAAGACAAAAAGCACACACCAATTTGTTCGTGATTATATATATGTTAACATATAAATGTGACTTGTGTGTTTAGTAGTATTGTATTAACGTACCAAACATCACAATGATATAATGTTGGATAGTGAATCAAAATGATATCAAAACTTTGATTTACTTTCAACTAATTTGTTGACAATTAGATAAAACAAAAACAAACTATTATGCACAAGGTTTTGATTATTTGGTACTTACATTCGATCAAACGTTTCCCCTACATATTTTTTTTTTGTCGAACGTTTCCCCTACATATAAACAATTAAAAAATGATGTTCCATAGAATTTTGACAAATAAATGAATTTAAAAATCACTTTCGTGAATATATTTGGATATAGAGGTGGAAAAAAAACCAAACCGAATATAAATCAATCAATATGAATCCGAACTGGATTTTATAAGAGTTCAAACATTATATAAATTTCTATACCAAACTATTTAAACCGAATTTGAATATTTAAATAATTAATTATTTATATTTTCTCTATATTCTTTTGTCC